TTCTTGGCTCCAACGCCCCCCCGTTTGAATGCCGAACACAACGAGTCGGTAACGGCGTGCACGGAGCAGTTTGGGGGCAGGTTTCCCGTGGCTTCCGTCTGAACATCTGCTCTGGGGTGAGGCAGGCCATCACGTGTCAGGGGGCACACGATAGATGCATCGAAAGCGAGCTGGGCGCCATGCCACAGCGGCAGGCCGTTGCACACTACCTCGATGCGCCGCGCATCAGTGACTGGAACATCAATGTTCATGTCAGCGATGCGGACATTGCGCGCGAACACGGGCCAAGGCACGTTCCAAAAGCAGCGCACGGGTAGGGAGCATGCCCGATGTGGCGCAGGCTGCGCGGTGGTCCCCGAGGGCATCAAGGCTGCGGCGGCAGCTGCTGGTGCGCGGAGCAAGCGAAGACGCAAGCGACGGAGCAGGAGAACACGGAACAGGTGGCCGGAGATGGTGAATTCATCGGCCGTAGGCAGGACCGTGAGCGCACGGGCAGCATGAGGCCCGGCCTGGGAGAGCAACAAGGCGCGAGTCGCAGGCGGAAGGTCAGAAAGATGCGTCTCAAGCGCCCGGTCCTCGCAAGCTCGGGCTGCACGGCGTTGCCAGCCACGCAAGTAATCCGTTGGTTCCTCGCCTCTGGCAGACGTGAAGGGGGAAGCTTGGAAGGCCTCGTGCCAAGCCGGGGTATGGAAACCCTGTGCTGCAAGGTGGGCGGCGGCCTGTGCAGCGGCGGCAACGGAAGGGACCCTTCCTGCAGGAGGCTCCTGGTGGAAAGCAAGGAAACGTGCCGCGGCCTCGGGCGCCCGGTCGCGGATGACAGGGAAGGTGTCATACCAGGAGGTGCGGTAAGCTGCATGCCTGTCTGCTAGTGCTTCAAGCATGCCGAGGCCACCATACTGCAAGGGCAGATGGGAGGCACGCAAGGCAGCGGGAGGCAGCGGGGCATCCGCAAAGCCCAAGACAGTGGCAAGGCAGCGACCAACAGCAGCATCGTGTTCCTCGGCAGAACATGCAAAAGGTAGTTGGCTCGCGGGCACGCACAATAACGGAGGATGAGCCAAGCGGCCTGCAGGTCGTCAATCGCAAGGATGCGGCTGAGGAGGCAGTCGTGTTCGGCGCGCTCGAATACAAGTTGCTTCTGGACGAGACGAAGCCTTGCTGGTCCCCACCTCTTGTTGTTTTTGGTTTTTAGTTAGCCCACGCAAACAATGACGCGACGGGGAGAGCTGTGAAAGTCAATCAAAGTGCAGCTTGCAACGTCGCTGTGCGACAGCAGCAGCGCTCGGGGCGCTGGGTGTCGTATGTAGCTGTTGGGGCACTCAATGAGGAACTTCGCATTTTCAGCGCACGCGAGCAACAGATCAGGGTGGCTGTGACCTTGGCTCAAGGGTTTCCCCGCTCCGAGCTGCGACGCACCGCAGGAGCGCTCAGAGCGACAAGCTCCAGGATGGCAACAAACAGCATCAAAGTCCATCGACAAAATTACGAGCTTTCAAGCGGTGAGCAGGTTAGTTCGCACTACTGCGGCTACAGCGGCGGCAGGCCGCTCATCGCCTGACTTTGGCTCGCGCAGCGGCAGTCGGCTCGGCCCCGCAGTTGCGGCGAGGTCGATATGCCGTTTTGCGTCCGCCAAGACATGTCCGAGTCGGCAGCTACGGTTCAGGGGGAAGCGCGACCAGGCCTAAGACCACAGCCAGGGCTAGCCCCAACGCGCATCAGAACGAACGTCATGCGGCTCCGGCACGACGGGTCCGTAGGTGCGCTGGGTAGCGATGGCCAGGAGTGCACGACCCAGTGATCGCGGCTGGTCTGGACGGCTATGTGCCTTGCGAGCATGGCACGGCAGTTGCATAGTTCAAACCTGCCACTAACAACGACGAGGCGGCAGCTTCGGGCACGGGCTAGCTCTGGGTACGTTTGATGTGAAAGAGCGACACGATAATACCATCCACTGCTACTTGCGTTAGGGTTATCTCACATCAGCTGGTGAGAAGACACATCAATGTCGGCAGCCGCTGGATTCGGGAGAATACACATCAGCGGGG